ACCATTTCAGACACTCCCACTTCAGCACATCATCACAACAATGCTTGGGGGAGGGGCGATCTGTGGGGCGGGAGCTCGGCTGCAGTCTGAGCTAGTGGGAGGGGCTTTGTGTAAATAGGTGAAGCTTTGTAGCAGCAAATGTTCAGACAGCTCTACGTGACTACCACAGGAAATTCAAGGATTTCTCAAACATGCATGAGTCAAAGCAACACCGAGTATGTTTTTGATGAGGCAATGACACAAAGCTTAAAAAAGTTCACCCCCCACCCCACCGAAAACAAAGGTGTCAGTTTCTAAAACCTGTATATTGATCACCTCACACTGGATGAAGCTCCCCTCCCTGCTCTTTGTCTCAGGTCACCACAGTACTTGTTCATACTGATATCACAAAGTATTGAYAGTATATTGAGTGCAGCTTTAGGCAGAAGAACGCTGGTGGTAGCCTCCTGTTGTGTTTRTTGCACAAATGAAGGAGGAGGACCACCAACATCTTCAGCTTCACCTCAAATCAACAGATGTTTGGAACTCTGGTGTTCCAACAGGACAACAAGCCCAAATCCTCATCAAAACACTACAGATTAGACAACCATAGTGGTCAAATATTCAAATAAGTTTTCAGAAGTTGCAAAAACTAAACTTTGACCTCATGTGGATCAGATAAAATCCAGAATCAGTTCAAACTGGTGAATCCATTAGTTGTTTTAAAATACAGAGGCAGTAAAAATCAGTCAAACAACTCATTATAAAGACAAAGCTGAGAGGAAACCTGTGAGCCAACATGCATTTGTATCTTTAACCTTTTAATTCAACAGAACTTACCTTCTTCTTGTCTGCACTGCCCTCCTGTGCYGCCAGCTGGTACCTGAGGAAGATGAGTCAGAGTCAGTATAATGACGAAGAGTAATGATGCTCCTGTCTGACATCAGAAAGTACAAAAATATTCTGTTATGTGGAAATCCTTCAGTCCATCACTAAGCTCTGTTTCACCTGAACTTCATGTTCCTGATCAGAGAAGAACCTAATCTGTTCTCTCAACAATTAAACGTTATTTATAAAAGTACAGGACGTGTCTGAAGCCTCGTCAGCTGAGCAGATAATTTAATTATCCTCTGAGGAAAACCGACTGAGTTAGAACCACTCAAGTTGTAAGTACTTTCATTAAAACCATCTGCTGGTTCATGAAATATTTTACTAAACAGACAGGTGATAACCAACGTTTACAGCAGAAGATGGAATGACTCAGCTAATAACTCACTAAGTTTTGGCTCAGAAGCTGAAAAACTGATCATAAGGGTTTGTTGGTCTGAGACTTCAATAAAATTAATGAGATATTTTGCTAAAAAAACAGACAGACTTGGGCAAAACAACAATTAGCAATAAACAGAATTGGCTTCATTGCAGAAAAGTCTTCAAACTCTGATACATCCTAATCTAAATTAAGTTTTATTCACTTTGTTTGCATCATGTTGAACCAGAACAACTGTGAGTGCAAACTGCAAAAAGAGTCAGGAGTTCAAAGTTCAGCAGGAAAACATCTCTGATCAGCAAAAAGAGCAGACAGACGGAGCAGGAACGACACCTGCTGGTCTAACAGACAACATGCAGACAGACTCGATGTCAGGTGAAGAGAAGGAAATCCTGAGCAGCAGARCAGAAACAGCATTTCCTGTGAGAACACAGCTACATCCTCATTTTTCTGCTATTTAAGYCATTCGTGTGTCAAAACATTCATCATGATTTTCTATTGGAAATCATGAATTCCATGTCATCTGTCCTRAAGAGAGGAACCATCTCAGCTCACAGCTCTAAAGCCAGCCTCTATGATGGTATGGAGGTGCATTAGTGGAAAGTATCCAGGTTTTAAAATACTGTTCTCTCCCTGATGATGCATCTGTTAMAACAGTCTGAAGAGTCCAGGTTCTGATCTGACCCGCCTATGCAGTCCAGACCTCAGAACATTTAAAAACATTTACCACGTCAAGAAATGAGAAGACCTGACAACTGCTCTCCTCGTGTTTACAGACTGTGAACATGACTGTGCCAAATTTGCGTTGCTTTTTTTTTCTAAAAACTAAAAAGGACAATTTCTTATTTTAAAATATACCGATGTTTCATTGTGAAGAATAATATATGGGTTTATGAGATTTCAGTTTTTATTTACATTTTACATAATGTCCCAACCTTTTTAGGCCAAAAAGTACACATCTCAGGTRTAATTGTCTGATTAGGTTTTCACTAAATCCTGAACAACAAAAACAAAYTAAWAGCAAAAAACATCTGTTAGAAACTAAACCCAGGTTTGATATTTTGTCCTAAATTTGCCCCTAAATGACTCAAATTAAATTTTTCTTTAACACTGCTGAACAAGCTGAAACTGAATCATTGCTTAAAACAAAACAAAAAACACTGAACACTTAAGCTAAAATAGTAAACAAAAAGTAAAAGTAAAACTAGACAAATAGACACAAGCTGATTAAAACAAAACAGTTAAAGGATTYAACAAGATCTCAATGTAAAGTTATATTTTTAAATTAGCTAATTAATAAAAGTCACAAGTCATAATAAATAGCACATTATTTCTGACATAGAGATGAATGTTTTGATACACAAACAGTATAAATAGCAGAAAACATAAAATTGATTTTAAAAAAGGACAAACCTATAGGAGGAATATAAAAGAGTAAATGCTGACTCAGCATTAAAGCTCTTAGTTTGACTCAGTCTGAGAGGAAGTCCCTGCTGACCGGCACTTWCTTAGAGGAAATTGGAAAAGTCTGAGTGGTTAGAAAGTATCTGATGGAAACCAGTGACCTGATCCCTGATCAGAGCTGGTTTTCAGCCTGAGCTCCWGATGAATTATTGAAGAGTTGCTTGCAGTCAGAGGCCCGCTGACGAGGGACTAACCTGGAGAAAYGCTCTGCGATGGCCGTGTTCTTGCCCCGGGCTGAGACGATGGACAGCTCCTTGGCGGTGACCCTCAGGGACTGAGAAGCCCACTGCCTGCGGCTGAACGGTGCGACAGACGCCATCTTTGGTTTTATATGAGCAATGGAAGCTTTCCTGTGGGAGCTGAGAAAACACAACAACAAAAACATTAATGGGGATATAAAACCAGTATTCAGTCTGGTACCAAGTGCACTTCCTGCTTTACAGCTTAGTTGATACTGTAGGCCCTTTCCCAATC